GGAGAAGACGGTATTTAAAAATCAGTCCCCAATCTGTTTCAGGCCGGGGACGGTGATCAGTGTTCAAGCCCGTCCCCGTTCCCGTCCTCGAATTTCTCCGAAATGAAATTACTTTTATACCCCTTATATATATATATATATTATAAACCAAACCCTACCTCACACATAGTTTACACTGTGGTCTCTCATCTCTCTCTTCCTTCCTCACCGTCCTCTACTTCTCCTCTCTCTCCCCATCCATTTCTGATCCCCACTATCGTCGATCGAAGCACCACATCTCTCTCTCTCTCTGTCTGTCTCTCTCTCTCTCTCTTCTCTCTTCTCTCTTCTCTCTCTACCCCAGATTTGAGCAGCGATGAAACAGATTTTGCTACTGCCGCGTTGATGTTGCAAGGATTCTTGTGCTCTTGTACAATCGGAACTGCATTTTGATGAGGAATTAATAGCTGATTCACACTGAAATATTTGTAGTCAATGTGAAAAGTATTTGTATGTCTTGATGTAAAGGCATCTTGAGTGATGATATAAATTTCACTTGTTATATACATATATATATTCATGGTAGGACCTTAGGAGTAGAATGCCCCTTATTTACTTTACGCACATCTGCGATTTGCTTCACTTTTGCAAAATGCGAGTAGTCTTTTGCTTTTTCTTCTTTCTACGCACCAACAGTTCCTTTAATAGTAATGTCTTTGTTGTTGAAACATAATTTTTTTGTTCTGGTTTTAAATTTTGTACAGATCTATGATGATGATGATGATGAGAAATACTAAAAACAGATTCAATTTTCTACAGATCTAGCAGTTGTTGTTGTTGTTGATTTTGATGATGATGAGATGATGATAATGATGATGTTGATGATGATGATGATAGGGTCCCCGTCGGGGATCGGGGTTGGGAATGGGGAGATTTTCACCATCGAGGATCGGGGACGGGGAGTGTAATCCCCGACCCTGCCCTGCCCCACCATTCCTACTCAAGAATTTCAATTTGGAAATTAAGAATCCTTTCATTTCCTTTTCTTAGGGGAATTCTATTTACACCTAAAAAATGATTAAGTAAACCCAATTTTTTAGTACACCCTAGTAAATTATTTAGGGTTATAATTTATTCTCAGTACAACCTCTTTGTTTTTACAAATTACCCTTTTGAGGTACACCTAAATAAAACAAATTAAAAATCTAAATTACTTTTGAAAAACTTTTCTCTTATTCACACACATACAGAGAACAATAGGGAAAGGAGAATGACACATACATCACATCACTGTGAAGATGTTCGACGCATACAGCATGAGGTAATCCCTAGTTTTATCTGTTTAAATGCTTTGGTTGAATGGCATAGACAAATTAAATTTGAAACGACTATAGTATTTTTTGAACTCAACTGTGTTTCGCTTATATGAAAATTTTAAGTTTTCTTGAATAATATTTACATATGTATTTGTTAGATCTCTGCATCAAATCTGAAAATGGATGGACCAGAGATGGTGAAATGGGATGTATATATATATATCTCTTTCATTGATATATAATATATAATTTTTTATATATAAAAATATTTTTTATATATATTTTAAATGCACATATGCTCAATATATATATTTTTATATATATTATTTAAAGAGATTTAATCTGTCAGATTTTTTATTTCACATTTTTTTTATTATTTTAAATTTTTTAATCTGTCAAATCTTTTTATTTCAGATTATTTTTATATCAGATTATTTTTATAGAGGTTTAATCTGTCAGATTTTTTTAAAGAGGTTTAATTGTTAAGTAAAGATGTTTAATAACAAAAAATGACAAAAATAACAAAAATCACTAACTTAAGGAAGACAAAATTTGACAACAACTGACCAACCTTAAACACACAACATTACCAAATAGGTCATGAATTAAGTAGTGACTTGAAAGCAATTTCTGTGTTCGTATTAATGCTAATAGTCCTAAAAATTTAAGCTTTTAGCACAGCAAATAAGGGTATAGAAAATTTCATAAAGCCACAATCCAAAACAACCAAACTGTTACATTCCACAAACCAACTTGGTAAAAGCACTTAAACATCAAACAGTAAATTAATTGAACCAAATTGAGCATAGTGAGAGTAGAGCACTAACAAAGGACAAAGTGGCTAGCTAATGACTACAAAATAAAAAATCATGAAAAAATATAGAGAAAAATTAGAAAATTACCATGGAAGACGACAAAAGGTAGAGAACATATGGTTGTTAGTGTACAAGTCAAAGTGAAGATAAATAATTCCATGGCTTGGTTTGAACTTAGAGTTACTAAAGAACATATCAAGTGTGATGCTGTTACATGATAGGTTAAGTAGTGTGTACAAAGATCTCTCCTAAAAACTTAATGGATGGATAGAGGAAAGAATTAGTAACTCTAAGTTCACCTTCTCTTTAAAACGAAGGCAATAAAAATAAGAAAATAGAAGAAATGAAAGGAAAAACAAATAATATTGTGCCTGATTATCTTCTTTTCCAATTATATCGTTATTAGAGAAATCTGAAGCCACAGTTACACACCATAATCAATATTGCCTCTATAAACAGTCCAATCAACTAAGATTCTTTTTATTTCTTCAAAAATAACTAGTTTCCTAAATGAGCAAATTTTCTTTTATTCCTTTTCATGTACTAATGTTGTAAACTTGTCAGGAACCATTTTTTTTTTTTTCTACTCTATCCTTTCCCATAATACTTCCATCTTAATCTATGTTATATACTTGGAGAACTAAGGAAAGATTAGATACAGACAACGTCATATGATTTTCTTTGTATGATACACATTGTGCATTCCTAAATGGAATAGGTTAATAGTACACATGATGCGTTTTATGACATAAAAAAATTAAAAAAAACTTGATCTTTCATTTGTGATCAGACATGGACAAGAGTTGGATTGCATTGGGTAAGACACCTGATGGAAGGATGAGTCGGCCATTTATTGATGGGGTGACATCATTTATCAAATTTGCAATGGCAGTTGTTGGCCAGGAAGGTAAAATTCCGTGCCCATGTTTGAACTGTGTGAACTATTATTCCCAAAATCTTCGAAATGTGCAAATTCATTTGCTTCAATATGGGATTATGCAAACGTACACTATTTGGCATGAGCACGGGGAACCACGTGTATCAAATGAGGCTCATCATGAAATGGCAATTGATGAAGATGAGGTTTTAGGTGGTATTGATGCCTTAGTGGAAGATCGAATAAGAGGAGAACCCAACGATGCACCCCAGAATGAGAAAGTACAAACGTTTGATAAACTATTGAATGATGCCAAACGTGAGGTGTACTTAGGTTGCACAAACTACACTCTATTGAAGTTTGTCATTGAGCTGCTTAATATGAAGGTAACAAACCACTGGAGCAATAAGTCGGTTAACACACTATTGGAGTTTTTAACAAAACTTTTACCAAAAGATAATTTGGTTCCAAAGTCATTTTATGAAGCTAAGAAAATACTTCGAGATTTGGGCTTGTCATATGAGTTAATTGATGCTTGTATAAATGATTGTGTACCCTTTTGGAAGGAAAATGCAAGGTTAGATAAATGTCCAAAATGTAAGGCATCCAGATACAAGATCAATCGTGGCAGGGGTAAGAAGATTCCCCATAAGGTGTTGCGGTACTTCCCATTAACACCAAGGTTGAAAAGATTGTACATGTCAAGAAAGACTGCTGAGGACATGAGATGGCACAAGGAGAAACGTATAGATGACGGAGTATTGAGACATCCCGCCGATAGTGATGAATGGAAGGAATTTGATGTGCAACATCCTCAGTTTGCCCTGGAGCCTCGAAATGTGAGGTTAGGGTTGGCTGTTGATGGGTTTAATCCTTTTGGGAACATGAGCAACTCGTATAGTTTATGGCCTGTAGTACTCATTCCTTATAACTTGCCACCTTGGTTGGTTATGAAAGATCCCTTTCTTATGATGTCACTACTTATTCCTGGAGAATCACAACTAGGGATCGATATTGATGTCTACATGAGACCTCTGGTGGATGAGTTGAATGAGTTGTGGGAAAATGGTGCATTATCTTACGATGCCATAACTGGTGAGTCTTTCCAGATGCGTGCAGCTTTGATGTGGACTATACACGATTGGCCCGCATTTGGTGACATATCTGGGTAGAGAACAAAGGGTCATTATTCTTGCTACACTTGCAATGATGAACCATATTTTCAATCCTTGAAAGGTAAGACTGCATACACTAACCATCGATGCTACTTGCCTCAAAACCACCCCGAAAGGCGAAAGAGTAAGGCTTACAATGGTAAGCATGAGAAGCAAAAGAGATCTTTAAAGTTACCAGTGGAAAAGATATTAGAGCAATTGGATAGAGTGACAGGTGTCACATATGGGAAGCATCCAAGAAATAAGAAAAGACTCCGTCAGGCACCAAATTGGACAAAGGTAAGCATCTTGTATGAGTTACCATACTGGAAGAAACGGAAGCTTTGACACAACATTGATGTTATGCACGTCGAGAAGAATTTTAGTGAAAATACCTTTGGAACTGTGTTAGGCATTGATGGAAAGAACAAAGACACCGACAAAGCACGGATGGACTTGGAAAATATGGGTATAAGGAAAGAGTTGTGGTTAACACGTCATCCTGATGGAACTTATGTCAAACCTAGGGCAATCTTTTCATTGACCCCTGAAGAGAGGGAGGGTTTCTTTGAATTCTTGAAATCAGTGAAGTATCCGGATGGCTATGCTGCAAACATATCAAGATCAGTGAATGCGAGAAATGGTAAATTAACAGGCTTGAAAAGTCATGACTGCCATGTACTCATACAACGGATTCTTCCAATTGGGATGCGTGGTTACGTAGACAAAGAGATTAGTAAAACACTATTTGAGTTAGGTAGCTTTTTCCAAGATTTGTGCTCAAGGACACTGCGCCGTAATGAACTTGAGAAATTAGAGGAACGTATAGTACACATATTATGCAAGCTTGAAAAGATCTTTCCTCCAGCCTTCTTTGATGTGATGGTTCACTTGGCCGTTCGCTTGCCGCGTGAGGCTATTCTTGGAGGACCGGTGCAATATCGATGGATGTACCGGATTGAAAGGTAATTGTTAAATTGAAAAGTTCGTAATTATATGTTGCATGTGTAACCTTGCTCTTAACTAATTCTCTTTTCAAGATTTCTCAGAGCTTTAAAAAAGTTTGTTACAAACCGAGCTCGACATTGTCTCTGATGCTGCTGAAGCTCAGAAGGAGGAGGATGTTGAGTCTCAAAACCTAGCCAGCAAAGAGTCTGAGTGCTTTAACCCAGAACTAAATGATGGTCAAGATATCTATTTGGAGCTTGCCACCAAAGAGCTGTCTGATGAGAAAGCCCCTTGTGATGATGCAGAAACGGACTTAGAAGCACATGGAGTTCAAGATCTCGAATCAAGCCTCATTGGTGAAGACAAGGTCTTAGGTGATGATGCAAAAGTTGAGTGTGATTACCCTGAACAGTCAATTGTATCCAAGCAGTTGGAGAATGAAGAACCTGATCAACTTGATATTGAGTCAAGTAATGAAGATGAGTTGGATTCTGACAAGTCTTCCATTATAGTATCGGCAGTACTGGTAGCAATTGATGCACAAATCAATTTTGATCACCCTGAACATTCAACTGATTCCAAGCAATTGGAGAATGAACACCATCCAACTCCCGAGACTGTCGACTGTGGAGAAGAACCTGATCAACTATTTATTGAGCCAAGTAAAGAAGATGAGTCGGATTCTGAGGAGTCGGATTCTGAGAAGTCTGCCACCATAGAATCTGCAGTACAGGTTGCAATTGATCCTTCTGTTGAAGAAAACATGATGTTTTCAGCAAACCCAATTAGTTCTCACCCTGTGATTTCTGAAAACAATACCATTGAGCAATTAGCAGGCCAAGAGAGCATCGATTTTGTCAATCTGGTGGCTTCCGCAGACCCAAGTACACTTTCTTGTCCCACTTCGCTAACACCAATGAAGAAATCTTCAACTAAGACACCAACCACAAACCGAAAGATCAATAGTCTTTTGGATGATGACAAGGACAAAGAGAACATTGACAAGAGTGGCAACAAGTTGGATCTTACAAAAGAGAAGCCGAAGAAAGACAAGAAGGAATTAATCAACGAAAAAAGTCTAAGGCAGCTAAGGAAGATTTTCAAGGAAAAGTTGCGGATTAATGAAGAGAAGAACGTTGCTAAGGTGAGGTCAAAATTTCCCTTTGGTCACTTCACTGTCAACTTTTTTGGATTGTGATTATTTTATGAGTTTTTTGTTTACTGATATTGTTGTTCGTTAACTGTTGACTAGCAGGCAGGAAGGGTAAGACCAGCTTTGCAGACACTGTCCGAGAATCGTTTGGCAGCAACTGAAACTGAAGACAAAAACTGAGTGCTTACATTGATGGGGTGGGTTGTGCTTTGATTGGGGGTTCAAAACCTTGGTTTGCCTTCATTTTTTTTTTCTTCGCAGAGAGAATATCACAATTTTGTGTTTTTTGTTTCTTTTTTTAAGTACTGAAATGAAATAATGGTGACTCAGCCAAATTTTTGCTGATGATGGGATTAATTGAGAGATTTATCATGTTTTGTTCATTCATTGTTATCCCTGTAGTTGCCTGCCTCTCTCTCTCTCTCTCTCTCTCTCTC